GATAATTGGAATGAAAGTAAGGTTGAATTTGAACTGAATAATAGTTACAAAAACTGAATTAATTACCGTGTAATCACTAAAATAATTAGTGGAATTGTAAATTATTAATATAAATAATTGATTATAGAAGATTCGATGCATAAAACTTGTACTTGTAACACATTTTCATTATTTATCTATCTCGTTTTTCTGTAGTCTGGCTTTTCCTTCTTATATGAAGTGCATGGAGTCTCTATGCATTGTGCTATATAAATTTATTATTATTATTTTTAAGGGGTTTTCTGCATCAGATAGGCCTACCCGCTCTACTCGACTAACCGCTCTTATTGGTCTCAGGATAAGCAGCAACAATAAACAAAAACAATTTCATACACCAATTAAAATCTTTGCAAGCACGATTTGGTTTACAATTTTTATTCAGTTATTTCTGTATCTGTTAAAGGTCTTCATTATTATAAGCGGGCACATTTACCCTAGGGGTAACGACCTATTAATATGTAACGGGTCTTTCACCGTGTGAAAAATGTGTTTTGAGACAGGATGGGAGACTAGTACAGAAAAAGATGACTACCCTTTATTATTCTTTGTTTGCTTACTCACTACCAAGACTTCTAAACTACTATAATTTAAAGTGACTGATTCTAGCATATTAATGTCATTAGAGTGAAAATCAGAATTAGGAGAGAGTATACAGTTAGAGTGCCGGTGATATACACCCTTTTTTTATACGAACCAGTAAAATTTTGCCCAGACTCAGTGTTCTTATTTTTTTTGTTGCTGATTTCAGGCTCAAACTGTTACTTTGTTCTTATTTTTAAACACTTTTTGAACAAGAAAATTATTATTGTACAGCAATATATTACGTATTATGGTACTGCACAAAATGTATTAATTATACAATTTTTATCACATGCGTGAGTGTTGGGGGTATAGGTGGCTGTCTCTGTACCTTCAGGTAGTAACACAGATGGATACACTCTCGACCTTAACGAAAGTAAATTTCCTCCTAGTTTGCCAAGTTACTATTTGATCGTGTTCAAGGTTGTGTGGGTAATCCTATTCAGAAAGATTCTTTGTCGTTAATGAGCTGCAGACAGAAGCAAGTTTGACTTTTATTTAGGAGGTCAACTTCAAACTACGAGAAAGTAGATGATTAATTGTGAAAACGTAACGAAGCGTTAATAAAAAATTTCCACCACTGCCCACTGCATTGTGTTTCATTGTCCACTGCGTTTGATCTTGGTTTGATACAATTGTACCGTATTTATATGAATAAACGCACCGGGGACTTTATTGTTGAGAAGGTTTTTAAGAGGGCGTTTCTTCGAGGGAAGCGTTATTTTAGGTGTAAAATAGATACGGTATATGCTCAAACAACACCTCGAGCGAGGCGTTCACTCGAGGAAAGTGTTTATCCAAAGGACGAATAAATACAGTATACAACTGTTTGACTGATCTTTAATTATGATTTAAGATTACAGTAGGAAACCTATTATTATTTTTTACTTTTTTTTTACAATGATGAACTTTTTTGGAAGTATGACATACGTATGAAAGTACATAGCATACACAAATTGGTACACTTCTAAATGAGAGCACCGTAAACAGCAGTTATGAAATGAATTATTCTTTTATAAATGGTATTTCTTCCTACTGGCATTTTTTCCTAAATCCGACTACAGTACTCTATATAAAATAATTCAAAATAATGCAAATGTAAATACAATTTATTCATTTATTTAAGAATAAAATTATAGTCATATTTTAACACAGATAGAAGTGATCATACTGTACTAGTAATGAAACAACTGTGTGGTGTTTTTACTTCAGGTGAAACAGATATTCTATTAAATTTTGCTACCAGAAGTTGCAGTTTTCTACAATGACTCCTCTAACAAATGATCTTTGCATATATGCCAACATTTTTAAAAATAGTCTAGAGTACAGCACAATGCATCTGGTACTGGTGATGTTGGCAGTGATGGCAGATGATCACTACTACTTCTGTACCACCATCATAAATAATTACTGTAATATTAGTCTGGCAGGAATATTCCATCACTTTGCTACAAGACTTTGAAATCATCTTCTGACTGAAATCAAAACATTTCAGATATTCCAATGCTTGCTTAACAAAATGGCAATAACTTCATAAATCATTGGCTTATGTTTATTGGTACTGGTACTGGTATTGGGTATTTATATTGCGTCTTTCCCAAGCCTCATTAATTCAGGAAAGCAATGGTACTAAGGTATAAAATCGGTCAAAATCGGTATTGTGTTTAATGTAGTGGTAATAAATATTTGAGAACAACTATGTCCCCCATCAAGATTCTAACCCAAGACCTTCTGATTTCTGTTTGGATACCCTACCAACTTAGCTATGAGGACAAGTGGCATACTAACACCCTTGGATTTTCTCAATTAAATTATCACAAATGGAGGTGTATATCAACACAGTTACTACTATATTATGAGATTGAATTTGGAGTGACTTGTTCTGCATTTTTATTGTGTTGCTATGAGGTTTTCTAGTGTATAGTTTGTTTTGTCCAACAAAAGTTTAAGTGAATTCTGAGACATGACTTGCACTTTGTAACCATTAGGAAAAGGTGTATTAGTGCACAGTACCGGCCCCTGTGATGTGAAGAATCAGGGACCAACATTCTTTGTATCTTTATTGTTTTTCCGACTGCTTTATCTTTTATATTGTATACAGCAAAATAAATGAAATGAATGGAAGCTTGATAAGGTTAACCTTATACAAAAAGATTCACAAATTATCTCATACAGGCCTAGAAGACGTGGTCCAGCCCTATATCATTTTAGAGTTACCTGTGTTAGTGGACCTACATGAGTGACCAAATATTTGAACTCCATTTTCAAATTTCAGTCCAATTACTTGTGGTGTTCCTCGGGGTTCCTTTGTTACCTTCGCGCCTCCTTAATTTTATATATTAATGCTATTTACTTGACTCCTATGTTTTTTGTACGCTGGTAACTTCACTATTTTAATACCAACCAAAATATACGAATCCATGTCTCTGTCGCAATTGCTTGCAGCTAGCAAAGAAAGAAAAGAAAAGAAAGAGTAACATATGAAAGCAAAAAGAAAGAAGGGATTGGAATTTTAAGAATGGATAATGGGAAGGAAGAATAGGAATGGTAAGTTAAACATTATCTAGTAATAAAACAAGAAAACTAAAATAAGATGTAACGAATGAAAAGGAAAGAGGAGATAATTGGAATGAAAGTAAGGTTGATTTTGAACTGAATAATAGTTACAAAAACTGAATTAATTACCGTGTAATCACTAAAATAATTAGTGGAATTGTAAATTATTAATATAAATAATTGATTAAAGAAGATTCGATGCATAAAACTTGTACTCGTAACACATTTTCATTATTTATCGATCTCGTTTTTCTTTAGTCTGGCTTTTCCTTCTTATGTGAATTGCATGGAGTCTCTATGCATTGTGCTATATAAATTTATTATTATTATTATTTTTAAGGGGTTTTCCGCATCAGATAGGCCTACCCACTCTACTCGACTAACCACTCTTCTTCTTGGTCTCAGGATAAGCAGCAACAATAAACAAAAACAATTTCATACACCAATTAAAATCTTTGCAAGCACGATTTTGTTTACAATTTTTATTCAGTTATTTCTGTATCTGTTATAGGTCTTCATTATTACAAGCGGGCACATTTACCCTAGGGGTAACGACCTATTAATATGTAACGGGTCTTTCACCGTGTGAAAAGTGTTTTGAGACAGAATGGGAGACTAGTACAGAAAAAGATGACTACCCTTTATTATTCTTTGTTTGCGTACTCACTACCAAGACTTCACTTCTAAACTACTATAATTTAAAGTGACTTATTCCAGCATATTAATGTCATTAGAGTTAAAATCATAATTAGGAGAGAGTATACAGTTAGAGTGCCGGTGATATACACCCTTTTTTTTTATACGAACCAGTAAAATTTTGCTCAGACTCAGTGTTCTTATTTTTTGTTGTTGCTGATTTCAGGCTCAAACTGTTACTTTGTTCTTATTTTTAAACACTTTTTGAACAAGAAAATTATTATTGTACAGCAATATATTACGTATTATGGTACTGCACAAAATGTATTAGTGTTGGGGGTATAGGTGGCTGTCTCTGTACCTTCAGGTAGTAACACGTATGGATACATTCTCGACCTTAGCGAAAGGAAATTTCCGCCTAGTTTGCCAAGTTACTATTTGATCGTGTTCAAGTATGGAATTCTAAGCATGGAGTTATAATTAATTTTATAACTCCATGGTTCAAGGTTGTGTGGGTAATCCTATTCAGAAAGATTCTTTGTCGTTAATGAGCTGCAGACAGAAGCAAGTTTGACTTTTATTTAGGAGGTCGACTTCAAACTACGAGAAAGTAGATGATTAATTGTGAAAACGTAACGAAGTGTTAATAAAAAATGTCCACCACTGCCCACTGCATTGTGTTTCATTGTCCACTGCGTTTGATCTTGGTTTGATATTGTACCGTATTTATATGAATAAACGCACCGGAGCGTATATTGTTGAGAAGGTTTTTGAGAGGGCGTTTCTTCGAGGGAAGCGGTATTTTTAGGTGTAAAATAGATACGGTATACGCTCAAACAACACCTCGAGCGAGGCGTTCACTCGAGGAAAGTGTTTATCCAAAGGAGGTCATTTATTCGAATAATATATATGTATACAACTGTTTGACTGATCTTCAATTATGATTTAAGATTACAGTAGGAAACCTATTATTATTTTTTACTTTTTTTTACAATGATGAGCTTTTTTGGAAGTATGACATACGTATGAAAGTACATAGCATACACAAATTGGTACACTTCTAAATGAGAGCACCGTAAACAGCAGTTATGAAATGAATTATTCTTTTATAAATGGTATTTCTTCCTACTGGCATTTTTTCCTAAATCCGACTACAGTACTCTATATAAAATAATTCAAAATAATGCAAATGTAAATACAATCTATTCATTTATTTAAGAATAAAATTATAGTCATATTTTAACACAGATAGAAGTGATCATACTGTACTAGTAATGAAACAACTGTGTGGTGTTTTTACTTCAGGTGAAAGAGATATTCTATTAAATTTTGCTACCAGAAGTTGGAGTTTTCTATAATGACTCCTCTAACAAATGATCTTTGTATATATGCCAACATTTTTAAAAAGAGGCTGGTCTTTAAAATTTGCGAGCCTACAGTAACAGCACAATGCATCTGGTACTGGCGATGTTGGTAGTGATGGCAGATGATCACTACTACTACTGTACCACCATCATAAATAATTACTGTAATGTTAGTCTGGCAGGAATATTCCATCATTTTGCTACAAGACTTTGAAATCATCTTCTCACTGAACTTAAAACATTTCAGATATTCCAATGCTTGCTTAACAAAATGGCAATAACTTCATAAATCATTGGCTTATGTTTATTGGTACTGGTACTGGTATTGGGTATTTATATTGCGCCTTTCCCAAGCCTCATTAATTCAGGAAAGCAATGGTAGGCATAAATTCGGTCAAAATCGGTATTGTGTTTAATGTAGTGGTAATAAATATTTGAGAACAACATATGTCCCCCATCAGGATTCTAACCCAAGTCCTTCTGATTTCTGTTTGGATACCCTACCAACTGAGCTATGAGGCCAAGTGGCATACTAACACCCTTGGATTTTCTCAATTAAATTATCACAAATGGAGGTGTATATCTACACAGTTACTACTATATTATGAGATTGTATTTGGAGTGACTTGTTCTGCATTTTTATTGTGTTGTTATGAGGTTTTTCAGTGTATAGTTTGTTTTGTCCAACAAAGTTTAAGTGAATTCTGAGACTTGACTTGCACTTTGTAACCATTAGGAAAAGGTGTATTAGTGCACAATACCGGTACTAACACCAAATCATAATTTGTTATTTATAACAACAATGCATCAAAAGCTGAATTCTGCCTCTATTGCTCCTGTGTCTTTCAATACACTTTCCTTATTCTTGAAATAGTCCTGGAACCACTGGATGTTGTCCTTTTTTTGTTGAGCTGTTAAATATGGGTTCATACTAAGACCTTGGATCACAAGCTCCATGAAATGCCGCACCGGACCCTTCTTGGGAAAGTTGTCGAGGTAGGTTTCAAGAAAAATGTGTTCATGAAAGCCAACATCCTTTTCTAATTCCATACCTGAGGGGAGGTAATAGTTAATAGTTACTTTTTTCAATTTGTTATAATTCAAATATTCTATTTAAATGCACAATTTTTTTATTGAGCCAATAACAAACCATTAATGACCAACTGCGCTGAGTTATTACCTATCGCTGTTAATTAGCAAATTTGGACACAGTGCAACGTTCTTTGCTCCCTGGGAAGTTTACCTAAACTTGTGACCTTAAGCTGGCCACTCAATGTGTCGTATGGCCATCGGCCACCGAATCCAACTTGGCTGCCTGTGAGCGCTAGATGACAGGACGCTGCCTGCTGATTGTCAGTAGCAGTCTAAACAGATCGTCATTAAGAACGATTCGTTGTGCGAGCACCGTGGCACTGCGCTCTCCATAGAATCACATCTGCTGACAACTGTCCGCAGCAGCGAGTACCTGCCTTAAAGGCCTGTTTACACTATGACGATAGTGTAAACGATAAAAAGCTAAAAAGCAATTGTTCATATAGAAAATAAAAGAAATAAGCTTTTTAGCTTTTTATCATTGATTTCTAACACATTCAATACCACAACATCCTAACAAGTACTTGTTTATACTCCTCATTAGACAGAAACAAACACAGCCTTGCTTGCATAAACAGCTTTTCAGTGGCACACAACGTAACTTGGAATTTTCACTTTTCGAGGAAAACAAAGTTAAAGTTTGCAGTTTTGCAACTTGGTAATAAATTGTCGTACCCTCATGAAATTTTGCAGAACTATATATCTATAGACATTATAATTATATGTGAAAATTTAATTACAACTCTCAATTAATTGTTATTAACGGTATTCACAGATACATTGTTTTACCTAGGAAACATGTCATGCACGGTATTGTTACAAGTGCGTCATATTTTTTTAAATTATCACTTTTGGGGAAATCATATGCAATATCTAGCATGTATGCAATATCTAGCATGTATGCAATATCTAGCATGTATATGTTGCCGTTAAAAATTATTGATACGAAAACACCTTAAACCAGTTAATTGTGCCTTGCAAAACTCCATCTGTTCAAAATAATTTTAATACCATTCCGTGGTAAAACAATGTCATTTGGGAGTATATTAAACACTATATTAAACACTAAATTACCTGTGAAAATTTCAGGTCTCAACAATGAGCCGTTTCGGAGATAGCGCCACCTATCTTTAAGCACAAAACTTAAAGTCTAGTGAGTTTCCGTGGAAAAACAACATAACTGCAAGATTACACAGCAAAACGGTATCTACGATAAAGGGATATTATCTCAAAATCGACAAAAATGTCAGTTACATTATTTTGTCACAGGACGGCTGAAATTATAAGCAATAACATAAAATTAAAGTAGTAAAGTAGAATAGTGTACCTTGTTCATTATTAATTGGATACTGCCAAACTTTTCCTTGCTCTGTTAACATTGCCATATCATCAAACCCATTACTTATACTATCATAGTGTAGCTGCCTTAGAGTTCTTTGTTCTTCTACTTCCCAAATACTTGGCTTTTCATCCATTTTCACAACCCCTGTTAACAAATGAGGACAAGTGCATTATACTAATTTAAAGTCTACCTACACTAAGGTATTCATACTATAATTTAATTTCTTCTTTTGTTGGACCACAAATATGTAGCATTTATACTTATTATTTGCACAAATGCAGTCCACTGTCAGTGGCGGATTCAAATGGGGACTCAGCCAGCCCGTGTCCTGCCCAATTTTTTTTTCAAAATTATAAACAAACATGAGGTAAAAAGACTGGGAGCGCAATTTTGAGGTGCCATAATTAAAAATTTTCCCCAACCATGGTAGGCTGAGGTGGTCTAGACTCTCCATCTGTGAAAGTCTCTCCCTGGGCCCCCAAATTCCTGTATCCGCCAGACTACAGTTGAACTTGCCTAAGTTAAATCCAAAATGGCCTTGAAAAATTGGTTGACAGATAAAATTGGACTTAAAGATCATTAATTAATGGAAAACACAACAAACACCACAAACTTTTTTGAGTTCGCCAAAGTTGACTTAGGACAAGTTTAAGGGTACTGATTCTTTAATAAATTTGTAATATTATTATAATCTATTGGTTTTGAGAGGATAAGAAATTAAAAACATACCATGTTCATCCTTGTACGATGTATCAAATATTTCCAATCGGTACCTCTCAAACAATGACCGTCTGATAAAGAATACAAATCACAAAACAGCATGAAAACAAATTTCAATTCTTGTAACAAGTACTAATAATTAATATTGTTCTTAATATTATAGTTGCTGTTATCCTCATTATATTAAGTTTGGAATTATTATCATTTTTACTATTATCATATTCATAAATTATCAATATAATATTTACTCATAATAGCACCTTAGTAATTGCCAGTGAGTAAACTTACTTGCGTTGCCTTTTGTAGGGCTCAGTCTGGGACTTAAGTTTAACCTCACTGATTTCTACCTCGTTCCCCTGTACTTCATTAACAAACACCTTCTTGAAATTACTTCCATTTCTTGGCCTAATATTACTAGTTTCCTCCAGCCTTGCCCCCTTTTTCTGCTGCTGGACCTTCAATTCTAACATGAGGGAACTGAGGTTGTTTGTCTCTTGTTCTGGTTGATGTGGACTGCGCAGCCTCTGCAGCAGGTCGGATTGCTTGCGTTCCCCATCATCTCCATGTAGTCTATCAGGCCTGCGCATTTTCAAAAATAAAATGATAATGAAAATTTATGAGTGCAATAGGAAGAATAATTTCATGAGGTGAAAGATTGACTGTTCATTCAACGAGGCTCTTTCAAGGAGTGAGAATGTTCTTTCCATTGCAACAACTTACAACAATTTGGTAATCAGGTACCTTTCTTCAGAATGGAACAGTCCATTTTCTTTCAACCAATGACAACATTGTATTACAGTATGTGGAGGCGTGCCATGGAATGAAACTAAAGTTTCATGAGTGACGAAATAGTGTAAATAACCAATGTCAGTCACATAATACGAAATCCACCAATCAAATGAGAAGTATCTACTTAAGTGTGTTCTAATAATGAATAATAATGATAGCAATAACATAACCATTAACAAAAACATCAATAGTATTTATATAATTTACACTTCATATACAGTATGATTTGGGAAACATCAACCCAAAGTTGCACTGACCTCTGATTGGTCTGTTGTGCTGCCAATGTCTGTGCATCCTGCTTTTCTAGTTGTGTAATAAGTTCTTCTTCAGCTTTCTCATGCTCTGGCAGTGATGCAACCGCTTTTCGAAGTGCATCCCTACATCAAAAAGAATGATGCATGTTTAGTTTATGAGAACAACATGTTGCTGCAAAAGATGTCATGACTGATCCATCAATTAATTAACCTAATAATGTATAATAAATTGCATAATTTATACTTAATGTGCTAAATATTGGATACTGGCTGCAAACATTGAGATTTTTCGACAAATGTTAGGTCTAGGCCTCTGCAGATCTATGGCATGGTTAGGTATGCATGAACTTTGCTGTGATGTTAGGGCTAGGCCTCTGCACATCCTGTCTCTTATACACATCTAGATGTGTATAAGAGACAGGGATTCAAATGGGGACTCAGCCAGCCCGTGTCCTGCCCAATTTTTTTTTCAAAATTATAAACAAACATGAGGTAAAAAGACTGGGAGCGCAATTTTGAGGTGCCATAATTAAAAATTTTCCCCAACCATGGTAGGCTGAGGTGGTCTACATCTATGGCATGGTTAGGTGTGCATGAACTTTGCTGTGATGTTAGGTCTAGGCCTCTGCAGATCTATGGCATGGTTAGGTATGCATGAACTTTGCTGTGATGTTAGGGCTAGCTAATATTTATGAGGGATCACTTAAATTTCAAAGCATACAATCCTAGGAGAATGCTGGGATTAGTAAATAAGCACTATTTTGTACTTCATCGTATTGCCTTTCTTAGCCATTTATTTCTCACTTCAACAGTGGGTGGTTGTTTATGCAACCACATTATCTTTTCCTATACTATCGCAATGTAATGTTTTTCATGTATACCCAAGTTACAACTTCACGTAAACAAACATCGTCGAATCTGTCTATTGTAGTCCATTCAGTCATGTTCACAATAAGTCCTCCAAGGTATGATTACATTTTGTAATTACATGATGCAAAAGTAGTGACCGGATAAAGGTTGATGGCTCACTATTGTGTTTCACAAAAGCATGAGATATGCCTAAATATGGTCATGATGACATCACATCATGACCTTATGTGGGCACATCATGACTATATTTGGGCATATGGCAGTTTTTGTCACATAAAATTTTATAGTGTGGACAGAGATTTAGCAAAAAGGGGGTCAGGGGTCAGGGGTCATCATGAGTATACATTGGCCAAGAGATTCAACAGTATTCACTCATGCATGACCTCTACAAATGACATCATCCTGGTCTTCAGCCCGGTCCAGACTATAAAATGTGACATGTCTAAATATGGTCATCACATCACATATATAGGAACACCATGACTATATATGGGCATACAGTACAAACATTTTTTCATCAAATAAAATAGCCTAGAGAAGGCGTAAACTGTGCCACCAAAATTTATTAGCTTAGACGAGACTTTTTTTACACCTTGTTTAACGAACCCGCTGCCAATCAATAATGATGATTTCGATAAAAATATTTTTTTTTTTGGCAAATTAGCGTACATGCCTCCATGAAAAAATGAAAATTTCAGAAAAATATTTCTATACGCTCACCTCTGCCTTCAAATCTCAAAAAAAAAAAAATGTATAGAGTATTTCTTCCTAATTATATAAATATTAATTTAAAGCATTTAACCATCCCAATAATACACTGTTTACATTCACCAACAACATTTTATTTTTATTTTCTCCTCCGTCTGGGTGTTTTTGGCAAAAATACTTGCTTAATAAGAAAACAAAATGTAATTCAAATTTTTTTCAACCCTCCTCTCAGAATCTACAAAAAAAAAAAAGGTAAACAATGTATAAACAAGTTTCACTTACAATACAATTGGCTTCTTTGCAGTTTTCACATCCATGCTTTGAAAGTTCAACCTTGTTTTCTCTGTCTTTTGCCCAATGTTCTTCTTTATCTTCAATCCTTTCAAGGTAGCTATCAATTTATTAGGTGGTTTGTCTTCTTGGGTGTCATCATGGTAATTAGCTTGACAACAATACCACACAGCTCCATTAATACACTTTATCTTATTTCTGCTTCTGTAAATTGTGATTGTGATACTATATTTTAGATGTTTATTTTTACAATTTTCGTCTGGAGTAAGTGGGAACAAAGCGTTACTGTTAGACGATTTTTAAAATAAATAAAATTGGTTAAAATAAGTTGCTATGAATTAATTTGAGCTACACTCTGTACAGCAGTTCAAGTTTAATAATTTAACACAATAAAATAAAATTATGATAAAATAATACAATCTTCAGTAAAAAGTGACTTAACTTAATGTTAACTGTGCATTTCTTGGTTAAACATTAAATGAAATATATGTAGGGGCTAAAACTAATCTTATTTACTAAAAATAAATAAGAAATTTAAGTAGCTTCAAAAATATAGACAAAGATATACAGTACACATGTACATAAAGATATAGAGGTGATATGATCAAAGCTTAACTGATAATATAATTATGATAATTCTGTATCTAGCTTTTTGCACCTTCGTACACTTTGATAAAACTTTGTGGTCATTCACTTATGCATCAATATTATTGACAATTGGAACGCTCTTCTAAACAAAGTCGGGACAGCAACCTCTATTCATTTGAAAGTGACTACCAGAAGAAAATACAAAATTCCAAAATTAACCTGTTTGGATCTGGATATACAGGCTGTAGAGGACTTTTGTCCTGCATCCAGTACATCACCTAAGTGAATACACCTAAGTAAGTATTAGTAATACGATTATTTTAACATATCAGTAGGCCTAGGCCTAGTCACTTTTTTACCAGAGAAGGTTCAGCTATATTTATTTATTTATTTTAACAATATTTAATTAATGAGGGTGGTCCATCCTGCCGAAGCTGACCATTAGGCACCCTCAATACACATAGTAAAACAAAACAAAAGAGAGTATGAAACTAATTAATTAATAATAATAATTGAGACTACTGCAAGTAGCCCTAATTAAATAATAATAATATTAAAAAAATAAAACAAATAGAAAATATACAGATGAGGAAAAAGGGAAAAAGTAACAACCTTACAATTCTTAATTTACAAAATGAATCAATTCATTTCAAAATAATGTAGGCCTATAATTATAAAACCATCTGCCAGGAGGCCCATCCCTAATAAAACTGACTGACTGATGAGTATACATGTGAGCATGAATCTCGGTGAAGTGTTAGGGTAATGTATATTAATTACAAAACAGTATGCCAAAAAATCGTTATTTCTCTTTTTAAAAATTACTAAAAATGACTCCAATGCTTCTGCAGAGACTATGCCTCCTAGCTAGGCGCTCAAACAGCGGCCAGAGAGGAATAGAGAGAGGGAGGGAGGCCCCAGCTTAGTTAGAGTAGAAATAAAGCCTGGCCTACTGTAGTACTAAATAGGCCTAGCTTAAGTTAACCTAAGTTATTTCTAAGCCTAAGCTAAGTAGGTTTCGTATTAAATGATATCCAACATTCATACCCTGGTACATGAGAATACAAATAATAAGCTACAGTTCTGGCCCGTGCAATTTTCTCCATCATACTGTTACCTGACCAGCCGTATCAATAACCAACCATGTCAGACTCCACATGTGTATGCAATGTCGCATGTCGAGCGATTTATTTGTTGTATTTATGCTGTTGCAGCTCTCGAGCGGATGTAGACCCACTTTTGCGAGTACAGTACAGTACCAATCGAGCGATCCCAACTTTGTACGAATCAAGGAAAATTTCAATGCATCCAAGTAGGCCTAGGCCTATTACTATTAGCGCTCCGCTATTCTTAAAATGTTGTGCCTTACCCCCCCCCTCCACCCTACCTACCCCGTTTGTGCGAGATGTAGGCCTACGAATTACTTTAAAAATTCCTATTTTGAGCTAACAATTTGCATACGGGCTCAGGCTTTCAATCAATTGCAGTAGTTAAAAATCACCTAAAATCACCTTATTTTGCGAGTTATAGCAGGGACGTACCCAGGGTTTTGAAAGTGGTGGAGCCGTTATGCAAAGTCCTACGTGGGACCCCGTGGGGAGTCCAGGGGCGAAGTCCGCCCTGGAATGTAGTGCGCTTTGAAAGTTTTTAGGGCTGTTCTGAAATGATAAAGTAGTGAAAATTGCAATAAACGCATCATAAATAAAAGCCTAACAATATAAAACTCAACAGTGGTGGATCCAAGTATTCAAAAGAGGTGACTCCAGGGACGAACTTTTACAGATTGGGTAACCACCCACCTCAGCCCAACCATGGTTGGGGCTGAGTTAAGAAAATTTATGATTAGGGCACCTCTAGATGACCGGAAATTACACTTCCAGACTTAAATTTGGATTTGGGGCCATATTTTTGTTTTCATTAAAAAATTTTAGGGGAAGGGAGAGACCTTGAATCCACCACTGCTCAAAACATTCTTTATCCAAAATAGTCATAATCACGAAAAATGGGCATGTAAAAACCAGATCCTAAAAACATCATCATCACATCACCGTTACATACAATGCTGTAGCTAGGATTTTCAAACAATATGCGGGAAAATATCAGTGTGGACCCACTTTATGCGTAAATTCATAATATGGACTCATTTTCTAAAAAAGTGGACCCATTTTACGCAAAAATATGAAAAATATGTACCCATTTTCTTAAAAGTTGACCCATTTTACGCAAAATATGAGAAATCTGGACCCATTTTTCAAAATCAGGACTCATTTTGTGCTAAAACAGCATAATTTAGACGTATTTTTGAAAATGTAGGGCCATTCTTTGTGGACCCAATAGAAGAATTGTGTGGGACTGTCCAGCTATAACAATAGCTGGCTACGGCATTGATATACTCAAAATAAAGCGCCAACAAATTTCTCATGATCTTTTATCAGCGATTTTCGGCAACCAAGAGATCTTTAATATGTGTAATGTACCATAGAAGATAAATCTTATAAACATTGTTTTTGAGTACCGTATGTACTTTATATACTTCAAAGCCGTGATTTCACAACCACCTCAGCCCCACCATAGTTGGTGCTGAGGTGCGAAAATTTGAGGAAATAGTACCTCTAGATGGCCGAAAATGACACTTTTATATAGTAAAATTCATCGTCATTACATCACCATTATGGTCAAAATCAAGCGCAAACAGATTTTTCATAATCTTTTATCAGGGATCTACTTAATATCCAAACAACTTAGGCCCAACTATAGCTTATACTAAGATTTAACTATACTATAATAATTGTGATCAACAAATCACAACTTACTTTTTCGCCTTTAGCACAATTTCTTCACTTTTTAATATTACTAATATTATTATCTATTATCACCATCTTCATCATCATCATTGTCATCATAATTATTATTATTAACTAGTACCCGGTAGTGCTGTAGTATTGAATCAAAACTTTATAGAGCTTAAAAAACGATAAAAAAAAAAAACAAACTGAAGCATACAATAGGCCTATCACATTTCTGTTTCTGAAAGACCTGGCCTGGGACTTACACGGATTTAAGATTTTTAAAAATCACGCTTGGGCCTATGTGTTATTATAGTAGGCATTATGTATAACGTGTGCTGATGCATATTTACATAGATTAGAATTATTTATTTTGAGTGACCCTTGGAAAGAATATGTATTGGTTAGCAAGGACAAGCTTTAAAATTTTAACACTGTGTACAAAGGGGGGGGGGGAGCCACGTCCCTGATAGCATTCCACAACTGATCATCGAGCCCCTACTTCACCTTCGCTCCACCAATCAGCACCCCCATTTCAATACTTCTAGATACGCCACTGGAGCCAGGGAGAAGCCCCGGTGGGGTCCGGGGAGAAGCCTATAGCCTTATATGTATATAAAAAGTCATATTTAATTGATTTATAAGGTTAACAATTTACAATTAAACATACCTACGTTCATAAAAATAATGTTAAGTCATTGTTATTCTTTCCACATGCTATGTTTAAAAAAAAAGTGGGTTTTAAACTATAAAGACGAATGGTTGAATAATGGAGAAAATTGGTATGATGTCTATTACTGTGCTGTTGATAGTCTTGTCAAAGGGGCTGAAGGATCCAGAATTTTTCAAACGGCGGGGTAGGGGAACAACAGTTTCAGAATAGATAAGTGAGTAGCACATAACATTAATATGCATTGACATTTTTAAAATTTAGTGGCAAGACGAGGCGGGGGGGGGGGGGTACACGTACCTCCCTGTGTCCCCTACACTGGATCCGCCCCTGTGTCACGCTACTACACCAATGATTTGTGCACCTTCTGATACCATAGACCTATACGTAAAACTAATTTAAATTTCTGTGGTGAATAAAAATTACAATTACAGTTACTCCCATTTACAAGTATATGCCTAAATCGTAAATCTACAAAATACTGTTACAACACTATATAATTCAACTAACTGGAGACAAAAACTGTGAATTCTACGTGCGAAATTCTATAGTTTTAAAATATATGACCTAAGTGCTTTCTAGTGGCCACCTTTTAGTCGGATTTGCCAAGACTGTAATTCAAACATGGAATAATTATCAAAAAGTACCAAAAACATTTTAGAACTTTAGTGTACAGAGCATTTTTTTTTTTGCATTTAAAACAAATACAAAAAATAGGGCGACGATAAATTCGCCCTTGTTATAGTTCGCACTAAATGCATCCGCTTGAACTGGCGTCCGCTCGAACTGACATCCGCTCGAATTGACTGGCATCCCGCTCGAACTGGCAAACGCTCGAACTTTGCACCTCTGCTCGACTTTACGTACCTTGTTTTTATTTTGGTGTGACCTTTGTAGATAATTGTTTTCGAAACACACTTAAGTATAAAATATAAACATTTATAAACTAATTAACTGAATATTCTTGTTTGTAATTTTAGATTGGAGAGCTGTAATTAAAATATGATATTTGTATTAGGTTTTAATTATGCTTAGTCCTAATCATGTGACTTAATTAACGAAGATTATTATTTAACCCCTCACATGATGATCAACGAAAACACAACAATACATACACAGCGGAAAGAGAGAAGAAAATATCTATAATTATTCTTTTCTAAGACAATGTTGCGCTTTAACCTTTAACTAGTTTGCCTTGGCTTATATAATGTTTTTCAAGAGGCGACGTCTGTGGACTTTCTGTACATTTGTTTATTATTATTTAATTGGTAGGCCTGTGTTTTGACCTCCTCCTACTAGCTAGAGTAGCCTACTCTACTAGGTACCTACTCAGTAGGTACCTAATCTACTTATAGTCTTAGACGACTAAACTACAGTACTAATCTAGGGCCTAGTAGAGGGCAGACTCGTAGGCATAGGCCCCTACTAAAGCTAGCTAGACTAGGCCTTGGGCACGAGTAGAGTACAGAACTGAGAAGTCACATACATAGTCATACAGTCCTACAACAGAGAGAGGCCACCCTAATGGCATGCCTAGCTATCTAGTAGGCCTGTCTGTGCTGGTTGACTGTCAATCAATACCTCCTACTTAGTTTTAGGCTAGGCTAAAACTTAAAAAGGTCTAACCTCGTGAGTCGTAGTACTAGGCCTAAGTAGAGTATTACTGTAGAGGGTAGGAGGGAAAATAGGCTGAATGTTTGGCCCCTATATACCGGTGGAGGCCTATTCTACTACAATTTCAATTAGATGGGGCTAGCTAACTAAAAGAAGATATAGGGCCAACATGCTCTCTAGCCCAATCTAATTGGGCCTACCCATTTTCTAATTTTTAATTTCTGTTTTTAATTATATTTATTTTATTTATTTTTATTACGCCTTGTATCCTGTGGTAAAAGGCGCAGTATAAATTCCTGTATTACCCTACATGGGCCTAATTTACTTTCTCTTAAAATGCATTATAATAAAGATAATAATATTAATGTCCTAGTAATATTATAAATAATATTCAATTAAATATATTTAATTAGCCAAAAATGTTATTTATTTAGTCGGTAGAACTTGATATCGAATATTTGGACAACTTGCTAAGCTACTATTCCAAGTGTGAATCTTGCTATTTAGTATCAAAGACAGCCTGCTGCAGTATCACCACACTGTTGTCCATTTTGTTACCTTAATTTTTTCAGTAGAATTTTTTTCTCACCTTTTTCACTTATTCTATTTTAAAGTTTCAGGAGCAGTTTCATGGGAAAACCAAAATGCAACATCAAAAACGAATATACAACAAATTCATAGAGAACATAATGCAGAAATTAGTATAGAGAAACAAATGGAAAATGAATTGAATTCAGTTAGTGACCTGGACGAAGTCTGCAAGCGCGACCTAGAAATTTACGCAAATGCATCATCATTATTTATGGAGTGTGTGGTACTTCACGCTAAACCCTTAAACTTTTGCGAAAGATGTGTCGCCAAGTACGTGCTGGCTTCAGAAGCTTTCACTAAAATTAAAGTAAAATATTTGTTTTTAAATTTTTACCACATAGTGTAAAGCCCATTTGTTATGGTTATTTGATATCACTTCTGCCAACATCACATTTTTCAGAAGTACAGTAAGTTATTTTTCTGTGATGTTTCCAGAGCGCTACCAAAAACCTTCATACACCACTTTTTGAAAGGTTTTGTATAGCTTTAATATTACATTTTACAGATAATCAGTGTCGCGCCGTAAAAGAACAAGATTTTTCTAGCCAAAGATGGTTGGCGGGCCGCACACATAGGGTTTTTAAATCATTTTCACCTGCCGCAAAAAAAAAAAAACACTGTCGGGCTGCATGCCACCCGCGGACCACAATTTGCCCACCTGTGATATAGAACGTATTTGGGGAAAAGCGGTACAGAAAGTGATTGGGTTTTTAGTCTTTGTAGTAAAGTGATATCTACCATACTTCACTATTCACTAATATATTATTTTATTTTTTATTTAACTACATTATTAACTGACATAGCAATTTTAAAATTCTTCTTTAAATTACAAGATTTTTTTCTTGGCTTGCTTAAGTCAGCTCATCACTAAGAGCCTCCATCACTTTATAGTCTCCATAGATCTAAGACTGCCACAATATTTATATTACCATACTTCACTTGCGCAGCTACAGTACTCTATTCTGCGGTAGTGACATTTTTGTGTAAAATGAAACGTGCATTTTTGTGTTTTTCTTTTTTTTTTTTTAAATCTAGATTTATATTGCACCTATCACAGATACAAGGCACTATCAGTATTTTCCTGGTCACTGGATTGGCAAACCAGCATGCTTCTCTACATGCACAACCTAATATGTTCAATGCCATACCATCTTACCAGGTACCCATTTATACTCCTGGGTGGAGAGAGGCAAACGTATGTAAAGTGCCTTGCCCAAGGACACAAGCTATGCTTCGGGCTTAGGTCTCAAACTTCCGATTTCAAGATAAAAAATCCAACACAATACACGCCGCGCCAAGCGCTCGTACATGTAAAATAGAATGCGAGCTTATTTCAGTTTATTTCATTATCATGCATGCCAAGTACAGTGTGTTGACAGATGACTGATAGCACCTTGTCCAATAAGAGTAATCTTTACCTAGTTTCTGCGATACACTCATGCTCTTATTTGGAGCCTAATTTTAGCTATCCTACTTGTTGCACTAAAGTCACTTTAGGCTACGTTGCTTTTTGAATTTGCTTCCCCCAACTATAGAATGCTTTACTAATTGAAATAAATAAAACAAGTAGTATAGATGTTTTTGATAATCTTTTAAATACTCATTTTTTTTAGGAGGGGAGGGGGAGGGAGTATTTTTTCTGTCTTGTTGCCCATCTTATTCTGATTGATGTGAAATTTAACTGTGTAAAGTTTATTATCAATTTGAAGTTTATTGTTTAACTTTTATTGTGATGCAATATGATTTACCCTACAGTTTATATGCTGTAAGAGTTTCAGCTGTCCATAATTTTAACTTATTTATTTATTTATTTGTGACACTTCACCTTCATATCGGTGACACTCACAGTCAGTGGTGCGGTTTTACAAAATACACAAAAGGAAAAGGAGAGACAAATCTTAACATTAACAAGCAATACTTAACTAAAAAAAAAGCACCGAAGCTCCAATGGATCAGTTATAACAAAATAAGCAAAAGGAAATCAAAAGGGCAAGAAATATACTGCATGCATGTGAATATAACTG